GTTTCGTCTACAAAAGACTCATCAGTGACGCTCGAATCAAAATATGTTTAAAAGGCCACATAAAGTACGAAGTTGAAGAGCATTGAGGACCAAAAATTCCTAAAAGTTTTGCCAAATACAGCTAAGGTAATCTATTCCTGAGGTAAGAAAGCCTTAGTATTTCAAAATTTCAAAGTTTTGTTAACAGTTAATTTATTATTATGAACATATCAATGATAACTCAGGTCAACACAAAAATGCTGACTACTGGGCTGGTGATACCCTCGGGGACATAAAATCTCCACCAGCAGTGACATCGACCCAGTGGTTGTAAATAAACTCATCATAGATACCAGGATTTATCCAAACTATCAAAAGTCTAAATTAAACAATTAACAGGGCACTGGTATGAAATTACGTAGCTTCGATTCGTGTGTTTTTTAGTCTATACGCCATCTAATTAACCATCGAGTTGACCTCTTAAGTCCTCCGATGACCATATACGCGATGTAAACAAAAACATAGATATAAATAGATTAAGCAAACTCGTGCTGTTGGATTTTTCTATGTCTATTTAATTATATCAGAAATACCGTTATTTGCGGCTGCTGTGGCCCCACCTGATCTAAAACTATGTAAACCAAATAATTTAGCATCTAAGCCAATAGTGTAAAGTGCAGCTTTGACAACTTCTCTTGCACGTGTATATGACAATTTTACATTCTTCTTTCGTAAAACAAAATTATTATGTTTCTTAACATACAAAATAGACCTGAATATGTACATTTCAGAATCTAGATCTATAATACCTGCTTTTATATAAGCTAACAAAGTTTCTACCGGACAGAAGGGTGTGTTTGTTTTTGCTATAACAACACTTTTCCCTTTTCTGTAACAATCAGTTTTGCTGTTAGCAATAAAAATTTCTACATATTCTGATTTGAACGAAATATCCTTGGCCTTAATAGCACAAAGTTCACTATATCTTAAAAATCCTGCGTATGATACAGCACACAAAGATAGCAGACGTAAATCTTTTAATGTCCTAGGTTTACTAAATCTGTTAAACAAAGTTTTTATAATAGTTGCATCTATGGGTTCCTTCTTCTGTATAGGCCTATTCAAATTTCTTTTAGAAGACTCTACTATACTACGAACTAAATCAGAATCACAAGGATCTGGTAAATTAGCTAACTTGTGTGCCCACTTTATACTGTAAAAAGCTGTTTCAACGGAACTAAAATGTTTGACTGTCTGCAAAAGATGTTCTAAATAAAGGCTTACATAAAGTTCACTAGCCGGTAAAATAGAGTCAATTTCCGGAAATTTTTGTGCCCACGCCAAAAATCTTTTGAAACCGTAAGTATACTTGGAAACAGTTGTCTTTGCTCTTGAATCTATAACTGTAGAACGTAAATGAGACAGAAGTCTTTTCAGTTCTGAACTTTGTACGAGGTCACTGTTATTCCAAAATCCGGCCGAAAATATTTTCTGTAAACAAAATCTTATTTTTAAAAAAATGTAAATAGGTAAGCAATTAAATAAATAAGCATAATTACCTTTAATGGCCAATTATGGCCCAGTGACCAGCTATCACCCAGCGGTGAACACACAAAAAAGGTCCAGTGACCAAAAAGGAACCATATGAACTGAGGTCCAGTGACCAAAAGTAATACAATTAAATGCGTCCAGTGACAAAATACTGTAACAGCTCTGTAGCTTTAGTCCAATGACCAGGTGTCCAGTGACAAACGTTCTCTACAATTTAAAATTAGATGTTAGCATTCATTTTAACTGCAAGAATTGTACCGGAAAATTTTCCGTTTGCAAACATAGAATTCAAGTTATTACCAGGTACAAAAATTCTGTCTATCTCATGAAACTCTAATACGTCTTCAACATATTTCTTGTAACCTAAGTTCTCTGTAAATAGCAATGGCCAAAATGGCGCCGAAGGCCATTTAGGAACAACTAATGTACCTTCTGCTCTACATTTTACTAAATGATTAATAGTCTTAGATGCTACTGAAACTGGCGGAACTAGCCAATTATTTTCACCAGCCCAGTTACACGTAAAAGCGTCTACAGCAGATGTTCCTGGGTTCCAATAAAGTGAACTGAACCTCTCTATTTTTGAGTTTTCAGAGTTTGCAAATCTGTCAAAGCTATAAGAGCCCCACATCGTATCAAGAAACGTAAAAAATTCATGGGAAACACCCCAATCATCTACATCTACGATTCTACTTAATAAATCTGCCTTTTCATTTTGTTCCCGAGGGATCCACTGTACATGTAATGAAATATTATATAAAACACAATTCTTGAAAATTTCTAAAGCTAAATTTTGCAGCTCTAACACCTTACTGCCTTTCTGGATTATACTCACAGCATTTTGATTGTCGGTGTGTACTGTAACTACGCTATTTTTGAGTATATTATGAAAAGATTTCAGACAAATTAGTATCGCTTTGATCTCTCTCCATGTGAAGCTTCTAGTTTTCTCATGATCTAACCACATCTGGTGAAAAACGTAGGTTGTGTTTGACACATAACCACCAGCGCCTGTGTCACTAGCATCCGTAAATGCATGAAAATCTGAATAAATTCTAAACAATTCAGAAGGTTTTAGTGACAAAATGTTCTCTTGCCAAAATCTTAACTCTTCGATACATCCTGGGATCTTAAAAATATTAATATATTGATCCCAGTGCTCACGTTGATTAATCACTGAAAAAATATTTCTGGTCATAATTTGTGTTACATTGCCAACAGCAGGCTTCAAAGAAATAATCTTACCACAAAACCCAGCTAAATCTCTGACTCTCACTCTTGAACCTGTTTGTAATAAATTACATAGTTGAATAATATCTAAAAGTTTTTTGCTAGGGACTGAAAGTTTCCCCAGATTCAATTCCCAGTGGAATCCTAACCAGTCAATATCTTGAGATGGGTTCCATTTACATTTATCCTTGTTTGGAACAAACCCTGAACTAATTAAATCTCTTTTTACTTTTTGAGAATGTAAAGTACATAGATCGGCCGTTTCGGCTACACCGAACCCGTCATCCAAATATACCACTACTCTTATCCCCCCTTTTCGCCAATGTTTGACAAGCGGTCTGACCACTTTCGTAAAAATATAACCACTAGTCTTCAAACCAAAGGGGAGAACTGTAAAAACATAAAATTTGTTTTTCCATTGAAAACCTAAATACTTTCTGTGTAAATTAAATACATCTACGTGATGATATCCCGACTTCAAGTCAAAAATAAAACCGAAACACTCAGAAGTAATGTATTGAGATACTGTTCTCAAATCTTCGAATTTTATTTAACTTAAAACTACATGTTCATTAACGTGTCTTAAATCCAAAATTAACCTTTCTTTACCTTTGGAATTAACCGAGACCGTTAACGGATTAACTACATGTGGTCTTTCCGACACGACCTCAGCTGACCCTGAAACAACAAGATCTTTAATAGCTTAATCTACAAATTTTTCATACTTGAAAGCGGATTTATTATTTTGCAACACAATTTTTTCTGGCTCAGTTCGCAATGGAATTTTATAGCCATTTTCGATAACATCGAGAATAAAATCAGATGTTCCAATACTTTTCCAAAACTCGAGAGATTTTTGTAATCTACCTTTTACATGTATATTTTTTAAACCCTCTTCATAGTCACAAAAAGATTTGAAAATATCTAAATTATTCTGTACCAGAAAAATGTCACTGTGTGGTCCATACTGATTAAATGGCCCCTCTACTGAAATTGAATCCAGCTTTTTTGTCCTTGGCTCGGCAATCTCTAGCCCAGTGTCCGTAGTTCCCACAGGAATAACACATATCTCCGGACTTATCTTTACGACTCGGGCCCGCTTGGCCCTGACTCCCACGAAAGGGCTGCTGAGTAGAAATAGTTGGAATTACACTCCCACCGTTATGCGTAGATTGACTTGGTGCCCCAGCGGCTTCTGCGGGTCTTTTACGGCCTTGTCTTTTCTCCGTCTTAGTTGATTTAATCTTACGGACTGCTCGATTCTCCGCCGCCCTGATACGCTTTTCATCTTCAGAATCGCTCGCGACGTCATCTGAAAGGTACTCCTGAACAGTGTTCCAGCCACCCTCGGACTTATCAGCTATCCTGATCATCTTGTTGCGTTTCTTAAGTGACTGTAAAGACTCATCAAGGAGCCTCGTAGCTCTGGCGGACCTTTTGCTCTCCATAAACTCTACGGCTCTCTCAATATTGTCTATGATATCTGCATTCAATTCGTATTGAATCTGGTTGCCTTTAAAACGGAAAGAATTCTCACTTTTCTTTACCTTTTTAGCGAGGGTATGAGTTTTGTCTTCAAAATTTCTCTCCAGCCCAGCTAATTTTCCATTCATGTAGGTCTTAAATAACGACAATAAATCTGCATTAGTTACTTCTTCGTCAGAAACTCTGTCCGGCTCAGGCGTCTCTCCAGTTTCTTTATCAGACATGACTTGTCACGAAATCTTCCTAAATATACACAACTAATAGTACACAACTCGATGGTCGCCGCCCTTGTCGATAAACTTTTCTCGTGCACGCAACACTTTAAATACTAACGGACTTTTTATTCTATTGTTATTACAATTAGCCCGCGTTTTCTTATTGAAAATTCATACGCCTTACGTACATAAATATATTAATATACATACATGGTAAATGTTTATTATTAAGCTAATTATGTGTACATGTGCATACATGCTAAAATAATTGTAAGACCTGATTTAAACTACGTACTGTAAAAAAGTAATTTGCTTTTTAACAGAAAAATATTAAAAACAATTTCTAAAACTCTCTCTGCCATAAAAAAAGAGAAACATCATTCACACTGGAGTAGATATATATAATCTTTCAGCACCATTTGAGAACTTTACAACAACAACTTATCTAACCACCACTCATCCATCCACCTAGTGATATTACAATTAATACAACACAGCGTATTTTCCACAAGTAATACAACACAAATTATCCAACCACAGCTTATCAGTCCACAAGTAATACAACCACAACTTATCCAACCACAGCTTATCTGTCCACAAGTAAAACAACCACAACTTATCCAACCACAGCTTATCTGTCCACAAGTAATACAACACAACTTATCCAATCACAGCTTATCCGTCCACAAGTAATACAACACAAATTATCCAACCACAGCTTATCCGTCCACAAGTAATACAACACAACTTATCCAATCACAGCTTATCCGTTCACAAGTAATACAACCACAACTTATCCAACCACAACGTATCCAACCACAGCTTATCCGTCCACAAGTAAAACAACCACAACTTATCCAACCACAGCTTATCTGTCCACAAGTAAAACAACCACAACTTATCCAACCACAGCTTATCTGTCCACAAGTAATACAACACAACTTATCCAATCACAGCTTATCCGTCCACAAGTAATACAACACAAATAATCCAACCACAGCTTATCCGTCCACAAGTAATACAACACAACTTATCCAATCACAGCTTATCCGTTCACAAGTAATACAACCACAACTTATCCAACCACAACGTATCCAACCACAGCTTATCCGTCCACAAGTAGAACAACCACAACTTATCCAACCACAGCTTATCTGTCCACAAGTAAAACAACCACAACTTATCCAACCACAGCTTATCCGTCCACAAGTAATACAACACAACTTATCCAACCACAGCTTATCCGTCCACAAGTAATACAACACAACTTATCCAACCACAGCTTATCTGTCCACAAGTAATACAACCACAACTTATCCGATTTATTCCCAATCAAACAAATGGTAAAAAGCTGAAATAAAATACAATTCAACAATGCGTTGAATTAATATTTTTTTTATCCTCAATTCATTTGCATTTGCACAACTAAAGACAGACCGTAATCATATATCTTCTCAACTTTTTTAAGGCGAGGGTGTCATGCCAAAAGATAATTTTGGCTTTTGTACCAACTTTGTTGGCTATTGCATACATTACTTTTGTTTAATAAGATGAAGTGAACCATTTTGTGGCATTATTAAATCAACCGACCGTCTACGATTATTTTAATTACTAGTTTAGTTATATATTAGTCCAAAAATTATGATTGATTGATTGTTAGTTGCTTAACGTCCAGTGGCAAATATTGCATGCATATTCAGTAATACAACCACAACTTATCCAACCACAACGTATCCAACCAACAAATTATCTAACCACAGCTTATCCGTCCACAAGTAATACAACCACAACTTATCCAACCACAGCTTATCCGTCCACAAGTAATACAACCACAACTTATCCAACCACAGCTTATCCGTCTACAAGTAATACAACACAAATTATCCAACCACAGCTTATCCGTCCACAAGTAATACAACCACAACTTATCCAACCACAGCTTATCCGTCCACAAGTAATACAACCACAACTTATCCAACCACAGCTTATCCGTCCACAAGTAAAACAACCACAACTTATCCAACCACAGCTTATCTGTCCACAAGTAATACAACCACAACTTATCCAACCACAGCTTATCCGTCCACAAGTAAAACAACCACAACTTATCCGTCCACAAGTAATACAACCACAACTTATCCAACCACAGCTTATCCGTCCACAATTAAAACAACCACAACTTATCCAACCACAGCTTATTTGTCCACAAGTAATACAACCACAACTTATCCAACCACAGCTTATCCGTCCACAAGTAAAACAACCACAACTTATCCAACCACAGCTTATCCGTCCACAAGTAATACAACCACAACTTATCCAACCACAACGTATCCAACCACAGCTTATCCGTCCACAAGTAAAACAACCACAACTTATCCAACCACAGCTTATCTGTCCACAAGTAAAACAACCACAACTTATCCAACCACAGCTTATCCGTCCACAAGTAATACAACACAACTTATCCAACCACAGCTTATCCGTTCACAAGTAATACAACACAACTTATCCAACCACAGCTTATCTGTCCACAAGTAATACAACCACAACTTATCCGATTTATTCCCAATCAAACAAATGGTAAAAAGCTGAAATAAAATACAATTCAACAATGCGTTGAATTAATATTTTTTTATCCTCAATTCATTTGCATTTGCACAACTAAAGACAGACCGTAATCATATATCTTCTCAACTTTTTTAAGGCGAGGGTGTCATGCCAAAAGATAATTTTGGCTTTTGTACCAACTTTGTTGGCTATTGCATACATTACTTTTGTTCAATAAGATGAAATGAACCATTTTGTGGCATTATTAAATCAACCGACCGTCTACGATTATTTTAATTACTAGTTTAGTTATATATTAGTCCAAAAATTATGATTGATTGATTGTTGGTTGCTTAACGTCCAGTGGCAAATATTGCATGCATATTCAGGACGAGAACAAGTTCACAATAAATACAATAGGTAGGTCTTGTCATAATAGAGGCCATTAAGGATAATGGTCGGGGAAATTTGGACTGCCACTGGAAGTTGAGGGTATATTGGATTGGACAGCAATTTTGCCTTACAACAGGCCACCTACGGACCCCTCAAAGAGTTGTAGCAAGGGTTCTTAACGTGCAACACGAGGCATCGGATTTAACGTTCCCATTCTGACCGGACGTGACTGTGAACTTGATTCATCCCGCACAGCCAAACGGACGCCCCACTTCGGCAAGCGTTTTACTGCCGGTCGGGAGAAGACCAAGTGACCATATTTCAATTACCCAGTCACCCTTGGGGACCCAATAATTATGACTAATTTTAGCCATGACGCCTTCCTCCGTAAATTACAATGTATTTCAAGGCGGAGTAATTATTTGGATTAGTAATGTAAACGTGGCATGAACGAGATCATCTGAAATTCATATGAGGGCCGAAACATATAAAGGGTAGAATGGAAAGTCAATGAGTAAAATTTACATTCAAAGAATTTGGGAAAATGATTACATATGAATGTATAACACATTTGTGCATATTGCTGATGACTCATTTAGCTGCACTGAGAAAAGATTGGCGTTAAGGGAGTTAGTTCGCTCTTCAGTTTAAAAACTTTTCAAAACACTAGTATATATTGATAGGGAATTAATACAGGAATCAAAAGAGCAAAAAATATATATAGGTCAATGTGCTTGTTTTCGAGATATTTGACATTGAAATTGTGGCGGGAAAATGATCTCGCTTGATTTTTCATAGCTTTATCATTTACAAGTTTAAGTTCTCACAGGTTTCTGGAAATCTGACAAAAATTCCAAAACATGACAAGCGATCATCCTGAACAATCGTGCATATTGTAAAGAAAACATTAGTTTCGTCCGTAGTGGACTCTCGGTGGATGTCTTGTCCCTACTTACTCTTAACAGATTTATTCCAAAATTTAATTCGGCAACAATTCGGTTTTTTTATTGCAATTTTTCTAAACAAACTATTTTTTCTTTTCGGTGATGAGTCATATTATTTTTTCTCCACACATTCCAGAAAACCTTTTATGTCCCTGGTGAATAATTGTTAACAGTTGTGCATCGACATAAATTCATTAATAATTACGACGCAATGTTTATAATTTTCAAACTAATTCATTTGATACCGGTGTTGTTGTAATTTACAGCAGGATTTCTTAGAAGAGCTACTTGTATTAATTGAGTGGTGTGCATGTACTTGCAACGAGTCGACTATTTATTTTACCTCTATGTGTAAATACATTTGTCGTTGCTTGTACTCCCCAAGGGTGACTGGGGAATAGAAGTATGGTCACCATTGGTCTTCCTCCGACCGGCAGTAAAACCCTTGCTAAAGTGGGGCGTCCGTTTGGCTGTGCGGGATGTACAAATTTGCAGCCACGTCCGGTCAGAATGGGGACGTTAAATCCGATGCCTCGTGTAAAGAGAGTGCCACGCTCTTTGCACGTTAAGAACTCTTCCAACAACTCTTTGAGAGGTCCGTAGGTGACCTGTTGCAAGGCTAAATTTCTGTCCCTATCCAATATACCCTCATTTCCCGTGGCAGTCTAAATTTCTCTGACTTAAATCCCGGACGCCCCTATTACAGAACCTACCTATTGTATTTATTGTTAATTTGTTCTCGTCCTGAATATGCATGAAATATTTGCCACTGGACGTAAAGCAACCAACAATCAATCAATCGTTGCTTGTAAGTAAGTAATTTTAACGAGATGGCAGTAACTAGTTATTTTACAAAATATCTGTAGCATTTTATGTATTTATTTATACTTTAAAAGAGGGACGAAAGATACCAGAGGGACAGTCAAACTCATAAATCGAAAATAAACTGACAATGCCATGGCTAAAAATGAAAAAGAGAAAACATACAAACAATAGTACACATGACACAACAAAGAAAACTAAAGAATAAGCAACACGAACCCCACCAAAAACTAGGGGTGATCTCAGGTGCTCCGGAAGGGTAAGCAGATCCTGCTCCACATGTGGCACCCGTCGTGTTGCTTATGTGATAACAAATCCGGTAAATAGTCTAATTCGGTAGGTCACATTCATGAAAGGGAAGGGGTTTGTAGTTACGACGTAAGGAACATATCCGATATCATTTGTGAAACGGTTATTTCATAACGGTCAACCAACTCGTGATTGCGTCCGTAAAATTTACGAAGTGATGATTTTAACTTCACCATTTGGAACTCGTGGTTTAATAGCTTCCTTGTGAGCAACAACCCTCTATCAAGAAAATCATGATAGGAAATGCAAGCACGGGAAAATCGTATCAATTGGGAGATATATACACCGTATGCAGGTGCTGCTGGAATGTTGCTTCTTAGAAATGGAAAGTTCACAATTGGAAAGCTGAAATCATCTCTTTTGTCGTAAAGTTTTGTTTTCAACCGACCCTTATTGTAAATTTCTAGATGTAAGTCAAGATACGAGGCCAACTTAACTGTATCTGTAGTATCCTTTATCTGATACCCGTCGTGTTGTTATGTGATAACAAATCCGGTAAATAGTCTAATTCGGTAGGTCACATTCATGAAAGGGAAGGGGATTGTAGTAAGTAAAGAACATATCCGATATCATTTGTGTCCGTAAAATTTAATTTGTTCGAAAAATCTTTCAAGGTTATATAAAATAAAAATGTATAGTTTCAATGGCCATGTCTTGATCCCGCCCCTTATGGGATTCTAATAGCTCTAAAATCACTCAACCTCCAACTAATTGCAACACAAGGTTTTTTGAGTGCAAATCAAAATATAGACTTGTACAAACAACATACTAAAACTATACATTGATATGATTTGCGTTTTGGGGTAAAAAATGTGGTTTTTAGAGAAAAAATGCTGAAAACTGGAAAAGAGGAAAAATTGTTATTTATGGTAACATTTATGGACCTAACACTTGTTGACGACTGGAAACCTTATCTTAATAGACTATTATGTAGTCCTCTTGTCATTATTATTCATATTGAAGTAATTTTGAGGTTAAATAAGTGATTTTTAGTGAAAAAAGGTTGAAAACTGGAAACGTAGAAAATCTCTGTTGTAAATGGTTAACATTTTGGAAATTTGATCTATATAGAAAAAAGAAACATACTATCTTATGTATATTTTGTGAAGTCCTTTATCTATCAATATTTATATTTGGGTAATTTTGGTTGAAAATATGTTTTAAGACAGAAAACCTGAAAACCGGAAATGAAAAAAATCTCGTTATTGATGGTTAAAACTTTCTAATTGGGATCTAAATAGAAAATACTACTTGATGTTTATCTTAAGAAGTCCAATGGCTATTAGTATTTAAAAAAAAATGTGATTCTTGTGTAAAATGTGATTTGTAGAAAAATTGTGAAAATGGAAATAAAAAGCTCGGTTATTCATGGTTAAAACTTTGAATATAGGATCTTTATAGACAGACTGTATAATCTAATGTTGATATGCATATGTATTCCTCTTGTATTCGAAATCAATTATAGTTCATTTATTGTGTGAAATATTTTGATTTTACAAACTAATTGCAAATCAAGTATGCGTCCATAGTACACGGATGCCCCATCTGCACTAACATTTCTATGTTTTGAAAGGTTTTACACTAGTATTTTTTGGATCCCTGTATAGCTTGCTGTTCGGTGTTAGCCAAGGCTCTGTGTTGAAGACAGTACTTTAAACTATAATGGTTTACTTTGACAAATTGTGACTTGGATGTAGAATTGTCTCATTGGCACTCATACCTCATCTTCTTATGTCTAATCAGTGGACCATGAAATTGGGATCACTACTCTAATTTGGCATTAAAATTGGAAAGATCATATCGTAGAGAACATGTGTACCAAGTTTCAAGTTGATTGGACTTCAACTTAATCAAAAACTACCTTGACCAAAAACTTTATCAAAAACTTTAATCTGAAGCGGGACAGATGGACGATTAGACGAACGAACAGACGCATAATCCGAAAAACAAGACAGACAAAGGCTAGAGGCTCCTGACTTGGGAGAGGTGGAATAATTTGGCGGGGGTAAAACATGTTGTGTGAGAACTCAACTCTCCCCTAGTTTCTCTAGACAATGTAGAATAAATAAACACACAGTAAAACTCAGTTTTAAAGAAGTGCATTTTGTGAAAGTTTGAAATATTTATCTTTTGTTTCTGTTATGTATTTATAGTAATCATATGATTGTGTAGGTATAATAAAACATTTGATTGTGTTCAAAAATAGCTAAATCAGTTTGGTTACTGACTTTGATTTTGTCATGTTAATTGTTGGAAGAGTTATTTTTCGGCTGTCCTTGCATCGTCATGGATTGCAGTCCTTTTTTTGTGTATTTTTACATTAGCTACTTTTCAACATAAATTAAATTGCATAAAGTCACAGTTAAACACGACTAATTTTATTTAGCAAGCTCAATAGATATCCACATTTAATTTCAGATAAATAAGCTTT